GGAGGTTGGTCTCCTATACTTTCATCATAGATGTCTCCAAAGGATGACAACAACTCTTGTAATACTATTAATCAAAGGAGAAACTGATGTACTTTGGATCTTTAAGTTTTTTTTTTAAAGCAATTAAATTTCATTAAAAAAAGGATAATGCCCAAATTACATAGAGAATAGAAATACAAAATAGAAGTAAAAAAAATGAATCCATTGATTCTCTCCCATTAGCTATTGATGTAGGCCTTGAACAGTTCTTAAAAATCAGAATCAACGGATTGCAGAAATCCGTCCAGACTTGTGTCACAAGAAACCGGTGAACAGTAGTGATCAATTAGGGTTTAAGCTCCCTTGAGGATCGATTGAAGTTTGAACGATTATCCCAATCCAAGGATAATCGATAATTGTAAATTGGAAAGAATTGTAGAATCTATGGAAATAAAGGAAGAAAGAAGGAAAGAAAGAACGAAATAAAAGAAATAAAAGAAATAAATAAATAAAAGAAAGAAAGAATTAACGTTGAGAAATACCTTGATTAAAAATAAAACTCAACTAGCCTCCTCCTTTAGGGTCCACTCATATTTATACTCTCATGGTTTAAGAGTGGAAAGTCTACCATGAGAGTCCAAGCCATTTTATTGGGCTTGGTCCAAGGCTCGATTAGAATCGAGCCTATTATTAATGCAAGCACTTATAAGGGCTGCATCAATTTATCACTCGACGGCTTCTTTAAAACTCCATCTCTTGGTCACTAACAGGCTACCATGGAACTAATAGGGTACCTCCATAGCTTCAAGTCCCCTAGCTTGTTGATCCAAGAAGCAACATAATCCCCTACTTTCAAGTCTTTTCATGCAAAGAAATAGCATCCATTTGCATTGCATACCCCAGCCCATGACACCTTTACCGGATTCCAGATTCTTCATCTTTAGCGCCTCAAAGACGTATCTAAGTAATCATTGGATCTCTCCCAACGCAAATCGCCAGAACTTGCTCAAAGACATCCACTGATCCACCAGAACTTGTCTGAGGATGTTCAACTAAGGACGTCCAGAATCCCTCATCTCCATTCGCCCTGTCACATTGACCGACAGAAGCCATGGCATCGTCATCGTCACTTGAACTAATTATTGGAAAGCCCTCGCCAAGTCTCAACCTTTCTCCTCTTTCCCATTACACCATAGTAGCCCTCTTTATCATTCATCTTCGCCAGAGCGCAGTAATCAATATGCAAATCCTTGACTTTCAATGACATTATGATTGTAAATAAACTTGTATTAAATTAATAATTTTGGGTACTTGGGTTATCTATATTTTAATACTAATTATATTTAATTTATTGTTTATATTAATTCCAAAAAATTACCAAGACCCAGTAATTTCATGGAAATGGGAAAGAATACAGGTCCAAAGACCTCCATAGTAGGACCTGGGTAAACCCACCCCAAAACTGCCCCAATTGCACCCGTATTCAAAATCGACCGTTAATAATAAAAACTAAAAATAATAAGAACAAAAAATATAAAGTTCACAGATTTTGTGTAAATAATAACCAAATTTAGTCGATAAATAGATATGTTTATTTTCAATAGAAAAAAAAAGTGGGTCTAAAGCTCTAAGCTTTCTTTGTTATTTTTTACCTCATTATTTTGCCCATGGACTAACAAAAACATATCCTAATATTGAATAATGAATATAATGCTAAAATAATAATAGAGGTAAGTATATGCACCTGCAAGCCATGTTGTTCTGCCTGATATTTATTATCCCCTTCAAGCCTTTCAACTTCAACATACTTGTCAAAAGATTCATACACATCACGACAGCCTTTCACATCAAGTTGAAGATCTAGAAAAGAAAATTGACAAGGTAATTATTTATTTAAAATCTAATATAAACGAAAAAAATAACTGATACAACTCAAAAGTCATAAGAAACTAGATGTAAAATAAATACCATAAAAAGATTCTTTTCTAGTAGACTTGTAGTCTACATTGATACACTCAATGTAATTCATATGATGACCTTCAAACAATTGTTGTATTGTGCCCTCCACAACCGTACCCTAAGAAAATGAATCCAACAAAATAGTAGGTAACAAAGCTGTTACAAAACTGAATGTAAAATAACAAACCTTCATTTTATCTTCCAGCTTCTCTGAAAGAACCCTATTCAGTTCTTGAACATCATGCTGCATGAAAGAATCATAGGTGTCCCATCCAAATGATTTGGTTAACTCTTTTGTAGCAACGCTGCTGTCAGAATACTGAAGCTTGTAGAAGAGACTTTGCAGAGCTAGAGGGATGCTTCCAGATGGCATATCATTCTCAGTTGTAGGCATGTGATAGACAGCCTGCAAACAAATGGTGGAATTTTTACATTGAGATGAAAAGTATGCATTGGTATTCACAAGTAACGAAGTGATGGCAATCATAAAAGCAAAACCTTTCTAAAATAGGGTATATGGTACAAAGTCTGAAGCAAAGAGTTCATGTAACATGTAGCTCCCTGGTTCTTGAGACCAACGTAACCTGTTTCTTTTCTTGAATCATACGTCCAGTGGTCAACCACCTTGCGAACTGTAACCTCAGCTTCAACCACGACAGAATCGTTAACAATAAATCCTCTAGCCGGATCATAGAGTTCACACAAAGACATAAACGACGTGAAACCCCAATCACTTTCCCGCACATTGAATTGGTGATGAGTATCTGCAAAACCCACAAAATAATTATGCATAAAATAAGAAAAACATCAAATACTACAACTATAGTTTAAAAAAGCGAAAAGCGCTCTTCCAAAACAATGATTACAATAAAACTTCTAAAAAAATACATCAATTATAAATGATGTAAGAATGCAATGTCAATCGATTCATTATTTAATAAGCACAAGCTTTTTGCAAGCTATATCCCAAGGGCCACTTTAGGGATACACTTTTTTAAAAGGATATTCAGATTCTATTAGTTAAAAGTTCGTTGTGTGATTTACCCTTAGTTTGTTAGATTTTAGATTATTCTATAAACTTGAAAATATAATTTTTGTGTTGACTTACCCGCAGTTTGTTAGATACTTGGATTTTAGATTATTGTATAAGCTTTGAAATATAATTGTTTTGTGTTATTTACTCATGATCCTTTGGATCGTGAGCTATATATATAGAAGAGTGGGTTCCCCTCACAAACAATCATATGGTAACAGAGGACGTGGAATTTTTTATCTGGAATCTTACAAGTTATTTTGTTAGTCTTCTGATCTTCTCAATCTTGAATCGACAATTCATGACATATGACTGTATGAAACAGATTTAGCTTTAACCAGCACACTAATCCCCCAAGCGATCCTTGCAAAATCGTACATATCAAGAACATCTGAACTATCATGAAACAATTACTTTTCAGTTCACAACAATCCCCCATGGTAATGCGCTCCTGGAATTTGTGACGTGAAAATTCGATCTCACCAAGTTGCCAACCACATCACCCCAAGATCAATTGATCTATGTTGGATCTTGTCACGTATCAAATGCACTTGAATGAATATTCTAATTAGGATCAAGGAGGGATTCTGGATAAGTATATTAGGCAAATCAGCATTTGTTAAATACCTTGGCCATTTGTAGACTCTCTATGACAGATGAAGACATAATTTTGACCTTTTAATAACGTTTAATGGTCATTACCATGTCAAATAAAATTGGGGATAGGGGATCCCCTTGCCTTATTCCCCTTTGATTTTTGAAAGGTAGGGTGGAAGTAGGCTTTTACATGTGATCGCTCGCCTAGGCGATCATGCGGCCCAGCACTTGAAGGCGATCTACCTTTAGGTGTTGGGCGGATCTAGTTGGATCAACCTAACCCAAATACCCATTTCTCTCATTTTCCTTTCATTTCTCCCTCATTTCCAGCCATCTTTTTTTTCTTCCCCCTCTTTTTCAGGCAACCCTATGGCTCATAAGACTTCATAAGTACTATTTTATTTTGCTTAAGACTTATATTTCATTCTAATGACTCTATGTATATTCTATTAATATTTCTGAAAATACAGGTATTTATAATAATATTATAAAAATACAAGGGAAATTATGCAAAATGTCCACCCTATTCCATGCGACCCCTAGGCAACGCCTAGGTGACCTGGGTGTTCATGCGACCAGCTTCATCGCATGAACGCCTGGCCGCATGTTAAAGCTTAGGTAGAAGAGCCCCCAATCAAGACTAAGAAGGAGACTGATGATATGGCATTTCAGAGTATCTTGACAAAAAGGGGTTAAAACTTAAAACCAAAAAGCTTCAAGTGTAGCAATGATATGGCAATAATGGCATTCCAGATCATCTTGATAAAAAGGGGTTAAAACTTAAAATTCCAAAGCTCCAACTGTACCAGTGATTACATTCCATTTGACAGTATAAAAACCTTTTTTAAGTTCGATATTGAGGCAACATCTCTTGGGAGTCCTTTCCTACCAGATCCATAAAGCATTTCTTTTGCAAGAATTAAATATTTCTCATTGATAATAATGAATAGTAGCACCCTGAAAATACAAGTGGAGAAGAGCTAAAAATAATCCATAAAGAATTTCCTCAGCTAGGATTGTGTTGTCTGAAATTAATCTGCCTTCAATAAAAGAAGTCTGGTTTGGGGAGATTGACTCAATGGAAACTTGACCTATCCTATCTGCCAGGATCTTGATCATAAACTTACAGACAAAAGAAATGGGCCTGAAATCCCCCATTTCTGTGATTGTGGGTATTTTGAGAATGACTAATAAGTGTAAAGAAAGTGTGGTTGGCTGATTTAAGTATTCATTTTCCTCTAAAAAATAGGTTAACACACTCCACTATAATCTCCTTAGTATCAAGCCAGAATTTTTGAAAATTCTGCACTCTTTTAATGTTTGATAGGGTGTCAAGTAAAGCTCGGCTCGATGGGCTCGGCTTGGGCTCGGCTCGTTAAGCTCGATGGGCTCAGTAAGAGGAGTATAAAAAAATATTATATATGGAGAGAATGGTGATGTAGCTCAGATGGTAGAGTGCTCACTTAGCTTACGAGAGATTGTGGGATCGATACCCCATTTCTTCAAATTATTTGTTTTAATAAAATTGCAGGTTAAGTTTGAGCTCGAGCCTGGCAAATCTTTAATGAGCCGAGCTCGAGCCCGAGCCTGGATAACTCCTTAACGAGCCGAGCCCAGCTCAATAAGCAAAAGCTCGGCTCGGCTCGGCTCGTTTGACACCCTAATGTTTGATAGTTTTTGTTGTTTTCAACTTTTCATAGAATGATATAAATGATGACAAAAAAATTGCCGATTGAAAAAATAAGCAATTGAGTTTGTACTCAAGTTAGTTAGGTAAATAGTACTAGAATTTTAAGGCATATGCGAAATTCTTAGTTTACTACCATTAGTCACTTGAAATCATGAATGAATAACACAAACAGTTAACATAAAAGGAACCCAGATTATTAACCAATTCTTCGTATTGGAAATATAGAAGAAAAAAGTTTGAAATTTTTTAGCTTTTAACAACTTTAAGACACTTGAGGTAAAATCATTATCATTAATGTTGATTCACATCATTGATAAAAGATGGTAAGATACATTAAAAGAAATAGAATATTTAAAAAAAAAAATTATAATGGTAAGATACATTAGAATATCATTGAAAATATGGTACATGCCTACATGGTATTACTTTTTTAGTAAAACTGAACACCGACCTTTTTTTATTGTGTACTTGCTATGTATTTGATTAACGACGGAAAGACTGAACTGGGCATATCTGTTCCAGGCATAAGGAAGGCTTGCAGCGTCTGCAACATCCAAGTACATAGACAAGTGGTCTACATTATTTCCTTTAGGAAAGATCAACACTCTCCTATCAATACCAACAATACAATCAGGCAACATTTCACAGTCATCAAAATAATTGCAAAAAAAACAGGAGTTTTACTACCATTTGAAACCTCCAACCACAAAAATTTCCGAGTAGTGCTTCTTAACATTCATTCGAGAGAAATTCTCGATTGTCCATGAGAACGTTGAAGTGGGAGGATCGTCTGGCGGTTGATTCTCACTTGTCACAATAGAAGCTGTATCTGTTGATTCTGTCGGCACAGCTGTAAAGTACACAATATAGAAAGATAAATTTAAAACTAAGTAGCATACCAATTACATTTATTGGAAAAGCAAAACAAACGAATGTGCGATCCTTGATATGCGTGGTGCTGTTTTTTAGTTAATGTGTTAAACATTTATTATTTTATTGTCAACTGTAAAGTATAAAAAAAATGGCAGGGAGAAGCATAAACAATATGGAAGGAAAATGAATTTAAGATTTTCTAGTTTCTACCATCCATTGGCATTGGCCCATTAGTAATATCAGGGTGTGGCACGAGCATCTCCTCGTCCTCTGGTCGCTGCAAGACCAAAAAAGAAAAAATATTGAAACAATTCAGATCAACCAAACACAAACTTAATTAAGTGCAAAATTGATTAAATTCATATGAGGAACATTATATCATTCCTAAATCTCCGCACACATGACACAACATCAACAATAGAATCCTCGATCGCAAAAGAAACATTAACCATTAAAAAACATGTACTTTTGGATATATTTTTCTGTTGCCCTAATTTACAGTGTATTTATTATTTTATTTACAACCGAAATCAACCACAATTCACAGCACAAGGAAGTAGCGCAAAATAAAAATCGAATTCAGGAACATCCATAGCAATGCAAAACCTAGTTAGAAACCAAAACCATACGTACGTCCCACGTCCCATCGCAATTCCCCGAGCACCTGACTGACGGACTAAAAACTAAAAGGCGAAACTCAATATCACTAGAAAACTAAAAGTAAAATAAAAATAAAAGTGAGAGGGGATGAATGATCAGACTGGAAGGAAACAAAGGGCAAAAAAAAAGCCGTAAATTCGTTCGATAAGAAAGAAGAAGAAATGAAATGAAGTGAGTGCGGCAATCGGGATTCGAAGACTTGCATCGGCGATTGGAGTGGCCATAATGGTCATCCTCGTCAGCGCAGAACGCGATCTACTGCGGCGAATTGGAGAGGATCAAGAAAACGGAATGAGGAGGTCGAGAGTCGAGAAGGGTAGAAAATCAATTGAAAAACTCCCAAAACAATGCACCAATTACCAATACCACCATCTTAGTTTACCTGGATCTATTTATTATATTGTTGGATTCTGGACTGGATACCTGGATCCACAAGGGCCTGCTTATTAATTATTTGCATTATTCCTTTTTTTTACCTGCTTCTTTTTTACTTTGGACTAGAGGTGAGAACAGTGCGGATCACGGGCGGAGCGGTCCTGCCCCGGTATCCAACGGGGTGGGTCAGATATCATGATCCTCTATCCTGGTTCCTGCCCTGGACCCGTCTGAAATTATAAAAATTATAAAAAAAATAAACCTAAAATTTAAAATGGGTAAACTTTTTACCCTAATTTTAAAAAAATTGAATCTTAATAATCCTATATCTAATATAATTTATTTTATTTTAAAAAATTAAAAATTATTTTTTTAAACCGGGGCAACCCGTCCGGGTTTCGCCCTGCCTCGAGACCCGCTCTGGAATATGACAGGTTTAAACCTTAAACCTTAAAAATATAAAAAACCCATAATTAAAATACATTTATAATAATGTATCTATTAGAATACATTCACTTTATTTAGTCTATAAAATATAAAAAGTGTAAAAAATGTTAGCATATAAATAAAGATTCAATTTGTTTAAAATAAAACATGAAGTATTAAGAGTTTATCAAAAAACTCTATAAAACCTCTTTAAACCTTTGCATGTAGATCTAATTTAAGAGTTCTACCAGGAAAATTTATAAAATCTCTTTAGATCTATTGTGATTCCAAAGACCTTCCTTTATTTCCTTAAGTATAGATTATTTATACAAACAAAACAAGAAGGGTGCTGCTACGTTAGCTGCCAAGTGTTGGCGCTACGTGAAAACCATGCATGTAGCCGTGGTTTTGGCTGCATGCGTTGCACTAATGTGATTGGAGCATTGGGGTATGAACTGTCATAGTGTGATTGGGCCATGGGTTGTTGTAACATGGCCAAAATCACGCTATAACAGTTACTCCTCCATTTGACACCGCCGACCGGAACAGAGGAAGATGACTCAGGCTTTGTTGGAAGAGTACGGGATGGAGATCATCTATCTGCAGAGCGTTGTGACAGGCGTGTTGATGTCGACGACTGATGATGGATCGATTAGCCGCCTGACTAATCTACTAAAACGCTTAAATAACCTGTTCTTTGATGTGAAGAAGAGGCTTACTGAACTCCAGAAAGCTTCGTCATCTGCCGCTGTCAGGCAATGTCAGTGTCGTGAGGTGTATGGCCAACATGCACCTTACTCCCCCCGCTTTGCCCGTCGATCCGCTCGTAAAGGCTGAGGTGTGCTGATGGCAGAAGGCCTACTGTTGCATTTTGATTTTTCTATCTCGTTGCTTGTAAACCTTGTAGTGACTCTGTACTTTGTTCTAATTTCACTAATAAAATGGGCTGTTCTGCAAGTTGTTGATTTTTCTATTCTTTCCTTGCATCTCAAAAAAGGGGAATATCGGTTGTATTCTAGGGGAATTGTTCATAGCGTTTTTGAGTTACTCCAGGTGACACTATGCCAAAGATTTCTCCCAAAGCTTTGTTGTCTCGTACTCGTTTTACTAAGGATATTACTTACCAAAACTTACCGGCGGGGGTTGTTGGATCTGTTATCGGTAATATTTACTTTTACTTCTCCCCCTTTCTTTATTCTTTGCTAGACGGTTCTCTCTTTTTTTCTTGGTTTATGGTTCGATTTTTATGGTGCGATATTCAAAAAAGTTTCCTCCGACGTCACTGCAATGATTCGATTCTTTCCCGATCTTCATTATTGCGTCCGGGGAGGCGAAAATACTCGGCGATTTTTGCTAATTTTTCCTTTCTATTTTTGCTCACAGTGTCAAGTCCCCTCATGGTCGCGTCAGATGGGCTTCGGGCTACAGTGGTTGCTGTCAGGTCTGATCATCTTCTTTCTTCTAATTTTTCTTCTTTAAATCGTAATTTAAAAGGATTCACAGTGAAGCTTTCTCTCCACCAACCCCAGCGCGTCAGGCATCCACCATGGACCCAGGTAAATGAGGAATGTTCTTCATGTCGTTCCCCCTTTTTCTTAATGGTTTTATTCCACGTATATTCATCCGTCTCTATATGTTGCTTCTTGTTTCCCCAGATTACACTTTCCTCGAGTTTCCTGATCTGTGTTGAGTCGTTCCCCCGTGAACAATAGTCCTTCTCCTTTTCAGCCTAGAGTTGCCACGGTAAATGTGACTGGTGGAGCCACCTTTCCAACATCCGTTGCTTCAGTATGGGTTAAACACGTTTCTTGTTCTTATTTTAACGTACTCTGCTTCTTTCTTCTTCTTTTTTATATTTTTGGTCATAGTTCTTCCTTTGTTCTACATGCAAGGTTCCTCGCGGGGCGACTCGAGTTGAGTCGGCTACACGTCGTGCTGCGCTTCCTCCTTCGGTTTCTGCCACTCGATCCACCTTATCTGTTTCGATGCCGGTGGACCCCTTGCATGTGCCTCAGTTCTATTCTTCTCCTCTGATTGTCGCGCGTTGGAATGTCGCAACAGAGTTTGGTCGTGAGGTAAGTCTTCATAATCCGGAGTGGAAGACTCTTCAGTCTATTCCGTGTTCCACACTTCTGGAGGGTGCAATCGCCACTAATCTGAATGTGGGTAAACTTGTTTTCTTCTTCCTTCTTCTTCTTCTTCTTCTTCTTCTTCTCTTTTTTACTGGTTTTTATGCATGTATATCGGTTCTCATCCTGATTGTGTGGTGCTATTTTGTTGTTGGTGCCAGTCTTTGTTGCCTCTCAAGGTTGCTTATGCTCAAGTTACTTACCTCGTCTCTGAGAATGCCAACTACCATTCTGAAATTGACCGTGTGGATGCTAAGTGTGATGCACTTGCTCTGAAGCTGGAGGCTACTATGAAGTATTGTGAGGATCTCTCTCTCAAGCTGCAAGAGCGCCTGGAGGCTGACCTTGAAGA